AGGACATTTTGAATATTTTGAAGGTTAGCTGCACTTGCTTCGAAACTCCATTAAATGATTCAAAATCCTAACCCTTGCCCATGATTTCCTGCCACCTAATTCTTTGTCCTCTAAATCTCGACCCTCCACGTGTCTTGCTTTTGCATCAATGTGAACAACGTGCTTATTTAAGTTTATTGTTACTGTTTCCAAACACTTTTGATCGCATTAAGAAGAGTAATTAAAATTCTTAAATTATTAACTTACTTTTAATTTTACCTTTAACATAGGAAGAGTGATTAAACATGTCATCCAAATCAATCATGTATGTACATTTTTAGAAATAATTTATTAATGCTTAATTACATTTTATAAGGTGTCGTCCATTATAAAGACTAAACAAAATTTTTAGTATAATATAGATTCGAGTATAGGTTAACGGAAAATTTTCACTATAACACAAACTGTTTAATATAAAATATATTTAATATTTTTCTCGGACAGTGTAAATAAATAATAGTCTATAAATGTGGGTAGAAGTGAAGTATTCAAATCTTTTTAATTGATAAAAATGTAATTGTATAAAGATTCTTTTCAACAAAAAGATTTCAATCATAGAGTGGGTAAATACAGAAAAATTCTTGCATGGACCTAGTGTACCACATTATGCAATATCATATGATCATAGATAGGATAAACATAACTTTTAATTCCTGCATTTTATTCATATTTTACTTTTAATTTTTATACTTTTTTTAATATTTTAGATACTACAGTTTTATTTTTTATTATTTTAGATTCTTTCAAGATTCCTATACTTTTCTTTTAAAGGAACCAAAAATAATAAAAAATAAAAGTGCAAGGACTTAAAACATAAAAAAAAGTATATGGACTAAAAACAAAACACAAGTAAAATACAGATACCAAAAGTTATGTTTACCCTTATAGATATAAATTGATTATGTTATTGATGATGATAGAGCAAGAAAAAGAGAGAAAGTTAAAAGATTTCATATTTTAAAAATAAAATTATTAGAAATAATGATATAAAAAATTATTTGATTGATACTTCTTCCATTCAAAAATGTAAAGCATTTTTTAAGGAGTTAAATTATTAAAAATGTAATGCATTTTTAGTTTTTTCAGCTGTAATTATTGCCTTTTTTTTTAAAAAATGTCTCTATTAATAATAATTTTATATTTAGTATAAAGTGTTTAATAGGAGTAAATATGAAAAGGTAAGATTAGTTTAAGAGTAAGTAACTATTTTATTGAGGGTGAGATTTGATTAAAAATGCCTTACATTTTTAAACAGAAAGAGTACAATTTTATTATATAGTTACAAATAATGTAATGTGCCCAATCTATACACGAATTCCTAACAAAATATTAATACATCTGTCTTCAACTGACTTCCTCCCTCCAAACCTCCTTTTTTTCCTACATAAATTACAGCTAAAAGAACTTTCTTTTTTTTAATATAAAGGTAAAAGAATTTTTTTAAAATAAGTACTCAAACTTTTGGCATTATTAACTTTTTCGACGTGGAAAAATTTTGGCAGGACACATATCCATGGGTATAAAAATTAGGAAAAATTTCATTTAAAGACCACAGTAGCAACTTATCTTTAGGTGACTCCCAAAAAATTTTAAAATATCAGTTTAGTCTTATGGAACTAATTGAAAATAAGTTGAAAGTGAAAAAGATCAAAAAACCCTCAGTTCAAATATTAAAAAAAATCACCAACCACTATCTTCGGTGACCAAAGCTTTGTTGGCGACGACAGCCACTGGGCCTCCATTGTCAGAGCTTTGACCCCTGGCTAGACCATCATTGTCAGAGCTCCAGTCACTAGTTAAACTACCGTCGACGGTGGCTAGAGAAATAATTTCTTCAAAGGTGGCCAAGATGGGTGTAGAACCCAAGATCCCTTGGTTCACCAAAAAATTTTGGACCACCAAGCCACTCAATCAATTTAATTATATAATGCATAAAATTATATATATAATAAACCTTATTTTCAAACCACTTGATTATTACGTTACTTGTTAATTATGTAACTTTACTTGTTAATACCTTAAAAGGACTTATTAATTACTTAACTTTTCTTGTTAAACCCACGACTCTTGCAACAGAAATAAATTACTTGCTAATAACGTAAATATACTTGTTAATATCTTAATAGAACTTGTCAATTACTTAACTCTCCTTGTTCAAACTTCTAGCTTTAATTGTATAAGACTTAACAAGGAGAGTTAAGTAATTGACAAGTCCTATTAAGGTATTAATAAATATAGTCACATGATTAGCAAGCAATTTATTTCTATTGCAGGAGTTGTGAGTTTAACAAGGAAAGTTAAGTAATTAACAAATTCTTTATAAGTATCAATAAGTAAAGTTACATGATTAACAAGTAATATAATAATCAAGTGGTTTAAAAATAAAGTTTATTATATATATAGTTTTATGCATTATATATGAGGTGCTTGGTGGTCCAAAACCTTTTAGTGAACTAAAGGGTCTTGGGTTCTACACCCACTTTTGGCCACCTTTAGAAAAATTAATTCTCCAATCACCACCAACGATGGTCTAGCTGGTAGTGGAGCGCCAGTGATGATGGTCTAGTCAGAGGCTGGAGCTCCAGCAATGGAGGTCTAGTGGCTGCCGTCGTCGACGAAGCTCCGGTCACCGGCAATAGTGGTTGGTGGTTTTCTTTTATATATATATATATATATATATTTAAACTTAGGGTACTTTGATCTTTTCTACTTTTAACTTATTTTCAGTTTAGTCTTATAGGACTAAACTGATATTTTGAAATTCTTTGAAAACTACCTGAAGATAAGTTGCTTTTGCAGTCCTTAAATAAAATTCTTCCTAAAAATTATCTACCCTTCCTTTTATAACACGTGATCTAGAAAACGATTGAATGGGTTGCTTATGTGGTCAATATATTCAGAAAGTTCGATGCACATTTTAACTCTTTTATTTATACCTAACACCCAAAGGTACTTTTAATAAACTACCCAATTTGCCAATGATCCAATAACCTAGTTACATGTTAGTTTTCTAATAGGTCATGGGTTTAATCTCATCTGAAATCTTAGACTTTTTAAGCCTACTATTTTTTATCCTTTTAATCAGAGAGGAAAAAATTACTCCAGGCACATCACTTCATTACTTAAATATATTATTAAAATTAAATTTATTAATTAATTCAATCTGTCTGGTTTCAGACAGATTAATTTTGTCTGAAACTAGACACAATGAATTTTATAATTTTAATATATTTATTATGTCAAAAATTAATTTTATTGTTCTTATGTTATTTTCTTACTATTTTTTTATTTTTTGTTTGTTTACTGGGGTAGTTTTTTAACACCCATTATCATAAATTAGATTTCTATTTCATGGTTATTCATTGAATTTTTTTATATAATTGGTAGCTTATATGTGACAGCATGAATTGGTTGTTGATTGGAGTTAATAGTTATTGATAATTTCATTGAGATGTGCTTAAATTGATCAAATTGAGATGGTTTAATTCCAAAAAATCTTAATTCATAAGTCATTATGCTATCAAATTTTTTAAATTCTAGAACATAAATTAATTTGTTGATATTTCAATTGGATAAAATGAACCATATAATTTTTATTTTTACCAGTTTAATTGTGTGTTTGATTAGAGTTGATAAGTAAATAATATCATGCATTGGATTTAATTTGATGGAATTAAGTTGTCATGTTGCTGAAATTGATGATTTATTAGAAACAAAAAGGTTGACTTGGAGGTTTTACTGTCTTGGGAGTCTCAATTTATAAGTTGTTATGCTTCAGGTTTTTTTTTTAAATTCAAATCATAAATTACTTGCTGATATTCGAATTAGGTAACTGTGAATTGTAGTTGGATAAATGCTTTACGAATGAGAAGGTGCACAAATATGATAGCTTGTATAATGATTCAGAACTGCCTTTGTATTCAAGGCACACAAAATATACATGATTAATAATGGTGTTGAAGTTGTTCAACTTGAAAGTGAGATATGAGTAGAGTAATAAAAGTTTCACAAAGTTGCTCAAAATTGTTCAAAGATATGCTTCCAGAGGGTAATGTATTTATAAAATTTATAACTGTGAATTATTATTCATGCATATATTGTGCTTGAATTTACAATATTTCAAAAGTTTAGAGTCATATTTTAAATTAAAGTTGAGACATATATGCAATATTTAGTCTAGTTTCTTCCTAACTAAAATTAACAAGGTTAGAGTAATTTTGTATAGATATTTCTATTCGAAATGTAGACTTTCATTTGATATGTTTGTACTTGATATATTTATATTAATCTCTAGAGCTGCTGTTTATGTATTTATATAGGTTTTATAAATAAAGGATCGATGTATAACTACAAAAGGTGGTTCTTTTTTTAAAAAAATAGCAATTACAGCCACAATTATTCCATAAATGGATATTTTTGGCCACAGTTGTGGTAAATAGCCGTGGCCTTAACTGGTTGTTCACCGTAATTACTTTATTTTTGCTATAATTCCACTAAGACCTATGGTGAAAATTCTTCTATCATTACTATACTCATTTTTAGTACATATCATCTTATGTCGTAAAAATAAGTTTTTAATTATGGTGAAAATTGCTTTTTGCACGAGTGAGATTATCGTTCACGCTACATTCAATCTGGACCAAATTTGCATAATTTATAAATTTTTCAAATACCTAAAATGCCCATTACTTTAATAAAGCACTATAATTACATCTCTCTCATATGTGTTTGTACTCTTCTCATGAGCTCCGACGTAGTACGCCTTAAAAATTCAAAATTGAAGTTATATTTTAATAATTTGATATAAATTTTATGCGTTGATGTACTCTGTATGATTTTTTTTTAACTCTTGTCGAGGTATTTACATTGGCATACATCAATTGACGTTGTATATTGTATATCCATCAATTCTGGGTATAAATAACCCATCCTGCGTGCTCACTACTTCACAAGCAAAGACACAAGCATACGAGACAGTGACTGAGAGGCAGAGAGGAGAAGAAGATGAGTTTGAACCAGAAGATGATCGTGAAAGTGGCCGTGGTGCTGTTCCTGATGGCTTTCACCGCCACGACGGAGGCTCGCCTCAATCCGAGCACCTTGCTGGCCTCGGCGCTGATGAACGGCGAGCAGAACTTCATCACCAAGTCCACCACCACAGCATGCTGCGACAACTGCGTCTGCACAAAGTCGGAGCCACCTCAGTGCCAATGCAGAGACATCGGAGAAACTTGCCACTCCGCCTGTAACTTCTGCCTCTGCGCTCTCAGTTATCCTCCACAGTGCCGCTGCCTTGACACCACCAACTTCTGCTACCCTTCTTGCTCCTCCACCGCTAAAACGGCCAACTGATCACCACGCGCCTCCGTCGTCGTCGTCGTCAATAACGATGTCATCTTATGCGAGCAAAGCCTGAAGCTACTTCAGGCTCTGTTTGATCTGTGTGTCTGTGAATCCTATCTTGTTGTTTCAATAAAAATTCTTGTGCCTTGCATGCTTGTGGAGTTTGCTATTTTGCAAACTCGTAATTGCTTGCAGGCTCTTGATCCCTATTTTAACTAATCCCCTGTTGCTTCTACTAATTATTTTTGCAATTTAATTAATATATAAATCCCTCAAAAAATCAATATCATCTACCCAACTGGAAAAAAGCATTTTTTGCCTTATTTTTCATAATTTTTTTATTAAGTATAAGGAGTAAGCTTGATAATAACAGAAGATATCTCCTTCAAAATACTGAGAGTAATGGATAGATATTTCATAGTTAAATTGTTATATGCGCAAGGGTTGGTGTTCAAATTCCTAACCACTGATTTAAGTGATGAAAACCTCTGTCACTCGTGCCGATAGACTCTAATTAGAGTTTTCATAAATTGATGCTAATGAGTCCGTTAAAAAGGGGAAAAAATCTGGAATTCTTTCGAAAAATGATGAAAATAAAGGAGAACAATGCGCAATAAAAAAAAGGGTTGGGGAGGGGAAGAAGTACTTCTTCCATTTTCAAATTTAAGCCACCAATAATTACTTCATCAAAATTTTAAAAAATTTAGATGGCTAATTTTTTTTCTTCTAAAAATGACCTTAATTAAATAACTTGAAGATATTCCCTTACCCTCTTGTCCTCAGTGAGAGAAACTTGACCATGTAATTGATTAGTGAAAGGTATTGGTGAAATAAATTAATTAATCCTCTAGAATCCAAACATATATATACTCCCTCTATTTTTATATATGGGAGAGAAAAAATATATCACAGTTTAAAAAAGTTAATTAACTATAATAATTATGTTTAAAAATAAAAATGGGCTAAAATACTCTGTATTAATCAATATAACTATACATTAATTATTTTTTGTTAATATAAATTATAAGGAATAATTTAAAAAATTTGTAATAAATATTTATTGAAATGAGTAATTTTATTTATAACAAAATATAAATTAAAAGTGAGAGTTTTTTGAATAATAAAAACGGGGAGGATATGGACAAGTGTCCTATATTTGAGTGGCGAGGTAATATACTAGGGTATATGGTTTACTCATCGGTTGTCTTTATTCAAATTTCATGAATAATCATGTGGTATTATAATATCAGCGAGTCACTTCGTGAATGACGGAGACTACTCACTATCTGTTCACCACGTCACACACAACACACAACACACAACACAACACACACACACACACACACACACACACACAAAGGGAGGTGGATTGGTTAATATATGTTCGATCGGCAAGGCATTCGGCGCTCATTAATATCAACCTAAAGAGTGATCTGGCCCTTCCTTTTTTTTTCAAATAATCTCTACCAGAATAATATTTAAAATATTTTTATATTGCATTTATCAAAATAAAAATTATAATATTTATTGACTGGTCATAGTATATTTAGATAATCAATTGGTTAAAATTATAAAATTTTTAATATTAAATTATTTCAAATCATATTTGTACTATACAAAATACATCTAGATAATTAATTTATAAAAATTATTAAAAATAATATTAAATTAATCATTCGATTAAATTTTTATTAGCTAGATTGGTGATAAATAGATTTATTAAATATTTCTATATTTTTTTACAATATTTTTATTTTAATAAATATAAAATAAAAGTAAAAAGATAAAATTTGAATTATCTAAATCTTCTCAGGAGTGACAAGTATCATAATATTTATCCTTTAATAAGCATAAAAAATAGTACATATTTAATATTATCATTTTTTAAAATTTTGAGAAATTTTTATTTTAATAAATATAATATAAAAATATTTAAAAATAATTTTAAGTTAATGATAGAGATTATTTGAAGAGAAACGAAAGGTTCAAATCACCCCTAAGAGAGATGAGCACGCGGCCACGCGTTTCCATATTTGATCTGCTTCGGATGGTTTAAAAAGGTAGAATAACGTTGGCAAAAACAAAAAACAAAAAAAAAAAAAAAACAGAGAGAAGAGAATAACAATGAAGAACTTTAATAGGTGAGTCGGTGCAGTGGGGGAGCCAACGTTGGGTGACCTATGTGGTCTAACATCAAAGACAAATTAACTGTATTTAATAATATTTTTTCTTAAACTTTATTTAAACAACTTATTAAAATAAGGAGACAAATTCCTTACGATAAAGAGGCTAATATCCATGCTGCATGCCCTTGCAGTAAATCCATTTTTACTTCTATTTACAATTTATAATTAATAATCATTTAGGATAATTTAAACCATAGTAAATAAACAAGAATAAAATTAAAAACAAAATTAATTAATCTAAATTTGTCTTATATTAATTTTTTATCTCTATAATTTGACTTATATTAGGCACAAAAGGGAGTTTATATAATTCTAAACGAGTGCAGGCACGCTACACAATTAAATATTCTTTGTACTACTCTCTCTCTCTGTAAAAAAATATAAGGTATTTTTAACTGAATCTCACCCTCTAATAAAGTAATTATCTACTTTTATACTAATCCTATCTTTTCATATTTATTTCTATTAAACACCCTATAATAAATATAAAGTCATTATCAATAGGGGCACTTTAAAAAAAAAGACAATGATTATACATCAAAATACTAAAAATGCCTTATATTTTTTAATATGTAACTCTTCAAAAAATATCTTATATTTTTAAACGAGGGGAGTACAATATAGGGTATTAATAACTATTTTGGAATACAAAAAAGTTTGGTAAAATCTTTATTTTAAAAAAATTGTGCATCTTCTCAATTATATCCTCATTTATATAAATTTCTTAATAATGATGATTAAAATTTTAATGCATGATTTTTGTTTTAAAAAATAACAATAAGTAGGGGTATATTTAAAAAATATTTCTAAAAACTGCTCAATATTTTATATTTTAAATCAAACAAGACTTCTAAAAAATGTCATATGTTATGTCATATGTTGTAGATCCAATGGAGTAGGTATAACTGGGGATAGAGTCAAAATTTAAAGGGAAAATAATAATAAAATCCTTTTAAGTTATATAAATAACATTTTGATCTCTTGAAATATCATAATTTTTCTAAAGTTTTTAGAAACTTTTTTGTCATTAAAGAATTAATGTAAATAACTAAATTATCCTTAATTCAAACTTGCAAATAACTATTAAATTTTTGCGATTTTAAGACGAAAATTTATAAATCTTAAAATAAAACTTATGAATGACAATCGATATTTACAACATTTGAAAAATATCATGATTTTGTATACAAACTTGAGAATTGCTATGGAATTCTTAATCTGGGAGCAAAACTTGTGAATGGCAATTGATATTTGAATTAAAGGTAATTTAATCATTTACATTAATTTTTTAATGATAGAAAATTTTTTAGAAATTTTAGGGGAATTATGACATTTTAAAGAACCAATTTGTCACTTATATAATTTAAGAAAATTTTATTATCATTTTTGCAAATTTAAAAAGGCGCCCACACATAAAATACGAACCAGTAAGTATTAAAGATTTGAAAAGTATAACATTTATATAATATCATGAAAATATTAAAAATTTGAAGACCATGACCGTCCCTAACCAATCCTCCTAATGGAAGAATGCGTTATTAAAATAATAACAAATAAAGGCCTTTTTTGAAAAATATCAAAGACTTCTTACAATTAAAAATTTAGGAATTTACAACTTAAAAATTTTATTTTACACTAATTTTTTTGGGGTCTTTAATTATCATTCTTCCTAAAAAAAAAACCCAATTCTATTTCTATTCTTCGACGCTGAAGCGTGAAAGCAATTTTTCAGACAATGTCCCGGCACTCAAACTCAGCCTTCCAAATTGTTTCGGCTAGCCCAAAAAAACATTGTTTTGAAGATATCCCGCGAGACTTTTTTATGTATTTTTTTTCGTTTGAAATTTAAATAAACAATGACTAGCATTATTTTTCGAATAAAAAATTCCATAGATGTCTCTATTATTTTAAAATATTTACAAGCATTTAAAAAAAATCTTGAAATTTTAGGGAAATCCCAAAGCGGTGTGTGCAAATTATGGACACCTGATTATTTATCTACCCCCTGAAAAACTTATTTTGCAATCTCAATACCAAAAAAAGATAATTTTCTAAATAGCATAACTTATACTCTCTTCGTTTAAAAATATAAGACATTTTTTAAGAAGTTGAATGTTAAAAAATGTAAGACATTTTTAGTCTTTTGAGGTGTAATCATTGCTTTTTTTTAAGTGCTCCTATTGATGAATGATTTTATATTTATTATAGGGTGTTTAATGGGAGTAAATATGAAAAGATAGTATTAGTTTGAAAGTAGGTAACTATTTTATTAGAGGGTGAGATTTAATAAAAAATACCTTATATTTTTTAATGAAAGGAGTATACTTAACCATATATGCTTAATATACTTTTATCCAATCATATCCGTAAGTGAATTTTAATGTATTATTACTATTAATAACAAGAGTTTTTTATTGAATAAGTAATGTATAAAGAAACTATGTGTCTTCATCTAATTGGAAACAAGTATTTTATATATTTAAGTAAATATTGTTAAATATATAAGTTTCCCCTTTTCAAATTTAAAGCACTAACTACTTGTCTTAATTAATGAAGACTTTCTTTCGTAAAATAGATCCACAATGAGAAGATGGATATATGTGATGAGTAATTATATCTATATGAACCACACAATGAGCTATCACGGAGCAGTACTTGCTTCCAAATTTACTTATCGAAATCTCAAAAATCTAATCTCAACCGTCGGTGTTGTTTTCCTTTTCCTTTGATTTTGATCTCCTTTTCCTTCACGTGTGTATTTCTTTGGGAATGAATATCATATAATTTTATATCAAAAAGAGAAAGAAAAAAGAAAAACCCTCAAGTTGCCCTATAAAGAACCCTCTCTTTTTGCTGGGCTTTCCAAACACAGTAGCTGAAGAGAAAAAGATAAGATATCTCTGAAGAAGAAAGTGATGCTGAAGGTGGCTCTGGTGCTGTTCCTGATGGCCCTCGCAGCAACCGGCGGGGAAGCTCGCCGTGATCCGAACACTTTGTTGGCGGAGGCGATGATGAAAGGCGAAGGCAATTACA